GTTGTAAATGAGAACTTGTTCTCAACTGGCTTACCTGGTTAAATAAAGGTGAAATAAAAAGAAAGAAATAAAAACACAACGTGCCATTGGAACACAGGACTGATGGTTGCTGATAATGGGCCTCTGTACACCTATGTAGATATTCCATTAAAAATCACCTGTTTCCAGCTACAATAGCCATTTACAACATTAACAATGTCTACACTGTATTTCTGATCAATTTTATGTTCTTTTAATTGACAAAAAAATTGATTTTCTTTCGAAAACAAGGACATTTCTAAGTGACCCCAAACTTTTGAACGTTAGTGTATATTTATATTCAATTCTCTGACATTGCTTGTTCTGATATTTCTTAATTTCTTAATTATTAGTTGTTTTTAAAAAATCTGGATTATGTGTGTATTGTTTTGTATTGCTAGGTATTACTGCACTGTTGGATCTAGAAACACAAGCATTTTTCTGCACTTGCGATAATATCTGCAAATCTGTGAACAGGACCAATGAACTTTGATTGGATTTCTATTATTCTATTAGGCAGTATTATTTCTGCAGGTTACTCTATTAGATTATGGCTTTTGTAGGCCTAACTGGGATGCTTCATGATTTGGCATTTGCACACACATGATTATCCCCAATCATATAGTCTGCTGCTTTACTGAATTGTTCTATTGCATTTTATAAATCAAGCTCTTATGTTAAATTCCCTTTTACTTAGCTCCAATGTGTGTGCATAGGTAAATGTATGTGTGTGTGTGTGTGTGTGTGTGTGTGTGTGTGTGTGTGTGTGTGTGTGTGTGTGTGTGTGTGTGTGTGTGTGTGTGTGCGTGTGCGTGTGTGTATGTGTATGTGTGTCTTTTGCCTGCCTCCCTGGCTTCGCGCTGGGAAAGAGCGCCATATTGGGCTATGCAAATGCAACGTTTGAAAAAGAAACCCGCGCGCACTTTCCGCGCCACTCCATCCGCATTCTTTACATTCCAGCGGTGCTGCTTCCAGGTGGTTTTGTCTAGAAGGGATACAGTTTTTGTCAAGATTGACTTTTCTTTGCTGGTTTATGAGAATTTACGCAGCAGGTTATGTTAATGAACGTAGCAGGTTATGAGAATTAGGTTAAGGTTAGGAAAAGAGTCAGGGTTAGCTAAAAAGCACAAATAACTACACGTTTGACTCAATTTGACAAAAGCTGTATCCCATCTAGACATGACAATCCCAGGCACGAGGCGCACGACGTGACAACCTAGGAGGAAACCGTCGGTGATTCTCGTTCTCTCAAAGTGATGATGTGGTGATGATGTGTAATTAAAACAACAATAACAAATATGTTAAATTAGAGCAAATAATTGCAAGTGTATACAGTATTGTAATAACGTTTTCCTTCAGGGATTTGTCGTGATTTATTGATTCATTCGTTTTTTCTAAAGCCCACACACATTTATTTCTAAAGCCCACACACATTTCTCAGCACCATGCATGCATAAGCAGCAGAGGCAGAAATCCTCAATTGTGCTATGACTCATCATCTGTGTGTGATTGCTATGCAGCATCCACTGTCTCAAATCCACCCTTACATAGACAATGACGAATTTGGAGGATACCCGTACGTAGTGGAATACACGTCAGTAGCCAAATGCGATTGGTTCAGTTTGTGATCATTATTTTAAAAAGAAAACGGCTAGAAACACCGATAGAGCCAGCAACGATTCTCTGGATACCCCTTGCAGTTTTTATGGCAATGTGACGCACGTTTTACGGATCCACGTTGTACGTGTACATGGCCATCCCACTCCATTCAAGTAGAGCAGAAATAGGCTCAGAACTGGGCATGATGCTATGAGAATGAAGACTTCTAAAATCGTCCCGTGTCTCAGCAACTAAAAATATGCCTTCTATTTAAGGAATGCATGGAACTCTATTTTAAGATGTATCAGATATAATCTGGTTGCTTTCTAGTGCAAGATCCCTATTTTACCTATCTACAGAATTAGGCATATAGGCTATACAGTGCCTCATGTGCTTGCCTCTCTTATTCCAATACATCTTAATAGCTAGAAGGGTGATTCAATTTCAAATGTAGAATATTTATTTATTTCTCTCTCTCTCGCTCTCTGTCTCTCTCTCTCTCTCACACACGCACACACACGTGATCCTCAAGACAGAGCATGTGTAATTTAGAGGTACAGCAGTTTGCCCCCCTCTCCATTACACAAGCAGACAGACAGACAGACAGACAGACAGAGGGAGGGAGAGGGAGAGAGAGAGTTTGGATGTCTGTCTGTTTGCAGGACAGCCAGGAGCCAGAACACAGGTATGATGCATACCTTGGAGCCACACACTGGATTCCATTTGAAACTCTAAACCACATGCTCTGCTGATAGAGAGTAAATGTTTATGGCAAAAGCCAGCCCAGTGCTACCTAGGGCTCCTTGTCATGGTATCATTGCTTACATGTAACTCCTCCCAACATGTGCAACGTGCTGCAGGGATGAATGACACAGTCTATTCTAAAGCCTTATCATACCAGCTTACGGCCTATTTAGTCTTGGACACTGACCTGTGGTTGCCATAGTGATCTAATTATAGTGTGTGTGTGTGTGACCAATGATCCAGCACACCTACTACTAGGGCTACTTTCACGGTTCACTTTCTCTCCCTGTCTGCCCCCTTCTATTTACCTCTGGAGAGGATATCTCTGCCTCACTCCTCTTGATTGAAACCTGTAAGAGTATTGACAGTGGTTGTACATTAGACTATGCTCACTGTTTGGACATATGCACAGTGGTAGAAAAAGTACCCAATTGTCATACTTGAGTAAAAGTAAAGATACCTTAATAGAAAATGGCTCAAGTAAAAGTGAAAGTCACCCAGTAAAATACTACTTGAGTAAAAGTATTTGGTTTTAAGTATACTTAAGTATCAAAAGTAAATGTAATTGCAAAAATATACTTAAGTATCAAAAGTAAAAGTATAAATCATTTCAAATTGCTTATATTAAGCAAACCAGACAGCACCATTTTTATTTTTATTTTATTTATGGGTAGCCAGGGGCACACTACAACATGCAGCCATCATTTACAAATGAAGCATTTGTGTTTAATAAGTCCGTCAGATCAGAGGCAGTAGGGATGCCCAGGGATGTTCTCTTGATAAGTACGTGAATTGGGCCATTTTCCTGTCCTGCTAAGCATTCAAAATGTAATGAGTACTTTTGGGTGTCAGGGAAAATGTATGGAGTAAAAAGTACATTATATTCTTTAGGAATGTAGTGAAATAAAAGTAAAGTAGTCAAAAATATGAATAGTAAAGTAAAGTACAGATACCCCCAAAAATGACTTAAGTAGTACTTTAAAGTATTGAACTTATGTACTTTTCACCACTGCATATGCATTTTTATACTAAGGGCACATAGCCTTCACTATGTGGTTATGGACTGTAGATGTACAGTTTAGCTTGTTCCCCAGAGGCATTTGCTTATGGCCCTGAATCACCTCTGCATTCTGCAGATTTTCTTAGTCTATATTGCAGCTCTCTGTCCAATTGTTTGGCGAGAGGATTTGGAGCTAATTGTCTACTACAACATTATTACTAGGCTACAGCTCAATACAAGTCAATCCAGTGAGCGCTTAACCCAGTGGCATCCTTGTCTCTCCGATGTCCCAACCTGTGATGGCCCAAACCCTAAGCCTTATCTACATCAACCAGCTGTTTGTTACCGGTGTCCTAGCCAGGCCCAATTTATGGCAGATCCTGGGTTTGTCAAAGAAGTGTGCTCTCAAAGACATTAAGTGAACTGCCGTCTGTGATGATTTCTCGCTGTACTCTGAGGCACACGAAAGGTTTTAGACAACTGCCAAGTCAAACAAGTGTCCCACGTCACTGGCCCTATAGGGAGTCACAGTCCCCTACGGGGCAGGGTGTCACAACAGTACTGGCCGCCAAATTAAGGATGTCACATCCAGGATGTGACGTAGTTACCAGTAAGCCAGGAGAAGTGACTGCACCCTCGGCTACTTGTAAACCCACACACAGATACACACTGTTGGTTTGCACAAGTGGTTTTGAAAGAGGTTAAGTTCAGCCAACAATGTAAGGAAGGAGGATATGCCATGAGCTATGCCGCAATCCTGGCTTTCGTCAGTTAGTTCCTCATTGAGGGCCTATTGTGAAGGGAAATCCGGTTGAAACTACAGTACTGCCTTGTCTCAACCCATTTGGTTAGTCCCTATTTGTCTTTTTACACAACAAAAACCCCCTAACTGGAATTTGACCTTTTTTATATGAATTGCACAATAAACTATTCAACTATGTTTTAGGTGAACGGATCCTTTCTTTCTTTACATAGGCCGATTAGGGACTTAGACATCAGATGCTTTCAACCACCTGTGCATGGCATTTGAGTGATGAATGCTTTCTGGATATCAAACTGTAGGCTACTGTGGATGCATCACAGCATCAGAAAGCTACTGTCTGGCCTAAAATAAACTGTATATCTCAACAATGTGCATGAAAGTGTAAGATTGCAGGTAATAATGGTGTTGTGAAGTTTACATTTTGGTGAGCAATAGCAAGACATTAGTTCATATAATTAGTTTATTATAACATTAGTCATAACATAGTTCATATACTTTAGGCTGGGTGTCAGTTAAAACTCCAGCCTTGTTGAAACAGTATATAGGTTACATATGATTTATTCATGGCCTAGATGAAATGGTATAACGTCTAAGTACAGTATTTCAACTGTTTTATGAAGTGTTGCTGTTTCCACGTCTGAATTTCAGACAGGACACAGGTGAATATAAAATAATTGGTTCCCTAATCAAGCAGGTACAATGTATAGGCCTACTAATTACTGTCAGATTGATTCCCAGCTGGAGTGAAGTCCAATGTACAACACTGTACAGTAGGCTTAGGTTACCAGAAATAATGTTGGAGAACACTGATGCAGTATTCAAAGCACCCCCCCCCCCCCCCTTCTCATAGGATAAAGCACTCAGAGAACTCAAAGGTTCAGTTCAATAATTTATTCAAATAAGTTTAACATTATATTCAGCAATGCAGATAGTTCACTGTCATATATTACTCTGTTCAACTTAAATAATAACAATACATTAGTTCGTTGTGTCAATGTAAAATACATGACTTCATTGTTACATTGTGGCAATGTTTTGACCCACTTAACTGACAGTCACCTGGCTATGAGTGTAGCCAGAATATCTTTCACATAATAACAATCCATAGGCATTGTTGCTCTGAAGACACTTCTTCAATGCTCATAACATCCAACTGTAGAGCATTGCAGTCACTCACATTGCATTTCATCATAAATACCCCGACTTCCACGTCGGAAAGCATAGGGTTAAACCCAGTTTCAAGTCTGGATTCTCTGTGATTATGTTGCTTTGTCCCTCCTCTGCATAAACGAAACTGCAAATCAGTTCCCACGCTATGCTGCCGCCCCCAGTTGCTCCAACATGGCTGGGCAAACACCAGTGAGACTTCTCTACAGTTCGTTTCTACTCCCCACTCCGGCCGTCACCTTTCCTTTCCGCGGAGGAAGAGAACTGGGGTCCGATGCGTCATGGAAGCATGCGCATTGTCCCTTGGAACATGCACATTCTCAGCTCCGTCACTGGGTAGCGGCACGGGGCAGGCAGACACAGGCCTGTCGATGATGCCCCCTTCTTGAATGCCTTTCTCATTCTTGAAGAATGACGACTTGTTTAGTTTCACGACTTGTTTACTTTCATGTTTCTCAGCGAGGGTCGTTAGTTCAGCGCTCCTGCAGGGCCAGATAAGGTACCCACTGGTTCTTGCAGCGGCTCTCATCGCAGTAGCTGCCCACGTCCTGCAACGCTTGGCATTTCAGAGATTGGCACTGGGTGTTCTGTAGACAAAAAGTGGGAGATATCGTTAGGAATGTCTTGAATGAGAAACTTATGATGACATTAGGGCATTTCGATTATTTCGATGTATTCAATATTAACAATTACGCACAAGATTAACAATTATGCACGAGGCCTATTGCGTGTAATCAAAATAAGAAGACAGGAGGCTGTACTTACAGTGACAAGGATGCAGTGCAGATCTTTGGGCTCGTTGCCGTTGCTGTCAGCGGTGCTTGGCTCGCCAAGAACCTGAGCGAGGCGCCTGATGCCCGAGACGCGCAGTATGTTGATGTCGTTGTCGCAGCAGAAGGCTTGGATGAGCGTGAAGTGAATCTGCAGTGCAATGTCATCCTCGTCCTCCTCATCAGTCGCCAGAACACACAAGACTACACTATCAGGATCACTGCAGAAAGAAAAGGAATAGCAAATATAGATAAATAGCGCATCATGGTTGCAGCTATGTTGCATTGACCCATATTACGAAATGGGCAATAATGATAGAATTTACAATAATACTTACACATTCATCAGCTTTGCAGACTCGTAGACTCCCAAAGTCAGGCAGTCTTGTTGCTGCGCTGCCACCAGCAGCTCTTCTAGTGCTTGACTCACGGTCTCCATCCTTCAAGAAAAATAAATTATGTTAGTTATGCACCACAATTGCGAATAGGCTACTACTGAGCACACAATTGCGAATAGGCTACTACTGAGCAGAATTCAGTACTGAGGCTATATTTCACGTTCCACTGCCAAACCATCTAGCCGATTCTCAATGCACACACTATACATACAGCAAGGCGTAGGCTATTCTGAACGACAAATGTGCAATAACTTACTTTTTCTCAGTGATATTGCAACCGAGTTCTTCCAGAGTCATATTGAAGTTCGTAATTGTATAATCCACAAAGATAATCTCCAATTAGTATATTCCCGAATCGAGGTTTGCAGCGCGTCCTTGGCAAATCAGTAATCCAATATGGTATAGGTTCCCTTGCGGTGTTTCAGTGTAAACTCGCTCGCTGTTGAATTGCAAAGTCCTTCTAATAGTTCTGTCTGTGGCTCAGTGGTTTCTGATATAACAGCGCAAAACTCAACGGTTATATCCACGCTCATGCTAGGCGTGGCGTTTCTTAGTCACTACTTCCCTGATTGGTCCATTGGTGTACTAGAATCCACACTCTTTTCAATAATTGGCTGTTTACGCCAACGCATTTCAGGAGCCACGTGGGCTCTTACAGAGAATCCCCAACCCTCCCTCGCTTAGTATCAGTTTGTTTACGAGTGCCATGGAATTTCCTTAGCTTTTCTATTGCTGCGTATTTCTTCATACTGTGGTCGTCTGAGCCTATCAAAATATAGTAGGCCTATATGCAAAATCAGTGTGATCATGTCTATGAAAGTGTGTTTGATTTAATATACATTGTTCCATTACATATATTGTTCCAATACATTTGTTATTACAAAACTTTTTTTATGGCAAAAATACAATTGTTGCAAAGCCCGTTGGTTGATTGCATGTCAGTCAGAGGAGCTTGCAGAGAGGGATACATTGTTAACACCCATGTTTGTTACCATAGCACCTGACCTCCCTCGTGTTAAAAACAAATGCAACAATATGTGGACGCATCTTGATTACACAATACATGAAATAAAATGGTATTGGTCGCGTACACATATTTTGCAGATGTTATTGCAGGTGCAGAGAAATGCTTATATCAAGATGGTCCTCTGTAGCTCAATTGGTAGAGCATGGCGCTTGTAACGCCAGGGTAGTGGGTTCGATCCCCGGGACCACCCATACGTAAAAATGTATGCACACATGACTGTAAGTCGCTTTGGATAAAAGCGTCTGCTAAATGGCGTATTATTATTACATCCAGTTAAACCAATGTAAATGGCATTTTCTTGGGATATCTACTCCACTGCCCTTTCTTTTGAAAGACAAGTCATCTATCTTCTATCTTCTAGAATGTGGCCGAATTTCTGCAGTGAACTCATGCTATCTGGAACTTTCATCACCTGTCCCAAGCTATCCTAGTTCCACCGTGGCTAATTTTATCTGCAGTCACAGGATCAGTGTTTACAAGCTATTAGTGGATCTTGTTATCCAATCAATCTATTACGAAATCTCACCTCAAAGACAGAATAAAGGTAACCTAGGGCTACTCCATTCGTCTCAATTATAATGTATTCCATCCATCTACAATGCATGATAGTTTACTGTAGACTACAGGCCTATCGATGATTGAGTATTATATTGTTGCTATATGTGCATTGGCCTATAGCATATGCCAAGACTTAAATATCTATGTATCCTATAATCTTGAATAGACTGCAATTATATATTTCTAGTGCCTATTCTGTAAAGTAAGATGATCGTAAGAAATAATAGTGGTGTCTGACATTCAGAATGTTAACGATGAGTCGCCCCTCAGTGGACTCAGTGCATCATCGCACCGAAACTGCAAGTGCTGCTCTGTGCCGCATCGCATCGAAATTGCAAGTTGGAACATGTGGGTCGTTCCACTAATTAGGTGCCTTTTGAGTAATGTAACTTGGTGCAAAAAACGTTTTATTTCACAAAAATGTTATATTCTGTCAAAAAGAGCACATGTTGAACTTTATAAAATACACGTTTTCCCATCTCATGAGGTTAAATAAAAACATTACTATAGTAAGTGCCTATTAAGTGACAAATAAAGTAACAGGGTTGACAACTTCATCTTAAATCAGCCATAAATCCCCTTGTGACAGGGGGAATGGAACTTTGCTGTGTGCAATACAGAGGGGCATCAAGCTTCAATTTGAATTTATTCATTGTTTATTGTTAAAACATTTCTAGCCTGTTTATCTATGGGTAACAGGGTTGACTTGTTATGCTCGACCCGCTAGGTTTAACCACAAAACACCAGAAAATGGCCAAAAAGAGTAGAACCAGCTCACTTGCTTTTTACATTTACCTATTAAATGTTTGTTTCTTTAGAAAAAAAAATGTTAAAAAGGAATAGTTTGACCATATTAAAACAAGAGTTCAGTTCACCTAACAGGTTTTTATATATTTTTACCTTGAAAATGAATCACTAATCACATTAAATAAATAATAATCTTCAGAAATGACTTTGTCAAAGCCAAAAAATTACTAGGACTTTAAATTGATTGAGAAAACTTGGAGAAATGTTGGGGTTAAGTGGGTTAAAATCTTCCTAGAAGTCACAGAGGATGCACAGAGGGACATATCAAAATGCTGAATTGTGGCACTTTAGCAAGTCTTTATTCATATAAAAAATCATATTTATTGAATATTCCATGTGGTCTATATTAAAGGGCACATCATTTAATAAAATAGGCTTTTGAAATGCAATACTTGTGCACAATTTATACCTAAAATATCAAAGGGACTTAAAAGGCACTCATTTTGTGGAACGAACCTTGTCACACTTTACAACTCTTATTGTTCCCGCTTATGCCCCTTGCTGAATTGTTTCATGAGACCCAGACCAAGATCTCACATTTTACTACAAAAGCCACATTTCTGCAGATTATGCAGATACTCTGCAGATGAAATCCATATGGATAAATATGGATATTAGACAGTTTACTAATTTGTATAAATGTATCACTTTTCAATAAATAAAGACTAAACCACCAACTTCAAGGACTACCTATTTTAATAGTAATATTTTCTCAAACTCACAATAAGAGTGCAATAACAGTGATCAATCAGAAAGCCTACTGTACATTGAGGCAATTATAACACTTTATTATTCTTAGCGTGGAGCGCCACTTAGTTGTCAACTGAATAACTACACTCTCGAAGACTGATATTGATAATGCAGCATACTCGCGCTGGAGTTGATTTCAAGTGTGAAGACCGATTTGTTCCTTTATCTGGTCTCGATTTTGGGAATCAAGCGTTTCACACTAAATTAACTTCAATCAAATAGACAATGGGGACAATTAGCAACCGCAACTTGATACTGCAGTTCAGGTTTGATAGGCCTATATCGTAAATTCCAAAGCGATTGGAAAGGCTAATCTTGAACTGTGAATTGCGCGGTTTTGATTAAATCAAATTATAGCCCACTAGTCCCAAAAGGCTACAGTCTAACAGTAGGCTATCGATACTACCTCTAATCATTATAATAGATAGCCTAAAATAGATTGTATTCTTCTCATGATCACCATGTCATGCATTGACAACTTTGTAACATTTGGTCAATCCCTTGATTCGTTTTTCGGCTGATTATGTTTTTGACAAATAGGCCTAGAGGTTATCGCTAAGGCTACTTGATCATTAGCAGTATTTCTGGGCCCCGGATTAATGGACTCGTAGGCTATCTGTGTGAAACTCTAGTCACAGATGAAAGGGGAAAGTTGATCTTCGCTCGAATTCCTACGCAGCCGTTCCGACCGGTCTCATTTTATTGGGTTATTTATTTTATTGCAGCGTTTTTTTTTGTTGTTGTCTCAATTTATCGTGGTAGGCCTGCAGCTGGCAATTCACACGTCTCACATTCTTCACCTTATTGGGATGCATGGAAAGACGCCATGGGGAGCTCACTGCGGTTTTTCGAACCTACCGTAATAGTATATAAGGGCCAAGTGCTGTTGACTAGCCTAGTGTTGCCATGTCTCCTGTCTCCTGTCTCCTTGGTGAACCCCGGCTGCCCAGTAAATTCAGTAGGACTGCGCACAGACACGATATAGTTAGCCTTGACACTTTCCCCCGTTTAAAATGGTAATTGTGAGCGGACATACTAGGACAGAATGAAATACCTTGGTCTAATGGAAACCCAGTATGCTTTGAATGGAATGGGGTGGAGGCGGCTAGAGGAGATTGGAGAATGAATGGAGGAGGGTAGGGAACGTCTCATTTTGACTGTAGCCTATAGGCTATCTAGCCTAGTGGCCCGATGTGTTACACGCATGACTTTGGGTAGGCCTACTCCAGTTAATAGCTAACAAAGCCATAACCAAAAGCAATCTCTTATAGCATTTGGGTTATACGCTATATTGCTGCAATGTAAAGGTTTTAGGACGTGTTCATTCTCATGACCATGTCAATGAAGGAAGTGCAAAATATTCTACCATATGGTAGCCTATTTTTCATCCCCGTGGAGAATAATGTACGATACGGTCATAATAATGTGGTCGGTATGTTACGGGTTCCACAGGGTAGCGCCATTGCAACCATTAATACAAAACCCATTTCAGAACTACAATTGCCAGAATGCACTGTAGCATACACATGGTGCGCTGCAGCTTTTTTGACACACTCGCGGGAATTTAATATAATCAAAACGTTTGCTACTACATTTGAAACAACCTACTATGTCACGAAAACTACAATAAGTCAACACGTGTGTTTCATTCAACTAGATAGTTATGGCTGAATGTCCAGCAAGTATTGTTTTGCGATGTGAAGGAGTCGAGGTAAGGGTTTTATAGCATAGCTAGCAAGCTATCTCCCTCCACCAATATGACGAGACTAGCTAACGTTAGCCACTGATAAAGTTGACAGCTAGCCACTTATGAAATTAACATGTATTTTGTTTCTGGTTTGATGTAGAATAAAGGGTCTGTGGCTACTGACAACTCGGCACTGGTAAAGGCCTATGACGAAGCCCTTCAAACATTTCGGGTAAAGTTGACAAATATACAAGCTCCTTCCCCTTTCTGTGGTTAAGATATAGTTGGTGTAGTGCAGACTGCAGAGCCATGCATTTTTTCTTCTTCTAAATACATGGCTCTGGTGTAGTTTTACTTAACTAACAAGCTATATTCAGCTCAAGGAGATGGGACAAAGGGAAAGGAAGCACCTCATGAGATTTTCCCCTTGTGAATCGATGGTGGTTGGCATGGCTTGAAACCAAAAACAATACATGTCAACCTAATGAATCTCATTTGTTTCATTCATCCTTCAGAGCTCAAACATTGAAAAAGAGAGTGGTGAGAAGCTTTGCGACAATCTACAGAAACTGTCTGAGTCCGAATCGTGTGTGCCAAGTCTGGAACCAGTTGACCTAAGGGCAAACTCAAAGGTAGTCAATAGATGGAACACTGACATTTTTGGTGTGTGTAGGCTTGATGCTTTTCCTCATGATCTTTGGTCTCTGATTCTCTTAATGCTATGTGGTCAGATGGCCCCTTCTAAATCAAGAGATTCACCCCTTGTGAATTGACGATGGGGCGATTGGTGGGCATGTGTTAAAACCGAAAACAAATAGGCCTAGCGTGAATGTCTCCTCCATGTTTTCATCAGAAGAACAATGATCCAATAACAAATCCTGAATCATTTCCTTTGTCTTTGTTTTATCCTTTAGAGCTGTAATGATGAAAAAGAGAGTGATGAGAGGGTTGGAGACAACCCACCGAAACTGATGGAATCAAAACTGATAGGCTATATGGAAGAATACGATTTGTGGGATGTGGTCAGAGGATGGTCCCTTCCATTTCATGAAATTGACTCCTTGTGAATTGATGATGTCCTCAAACCAAAAACCAATAACATGAATGTCTTCATCAGAAGAACAATTTTCCAACACTGAATCCTGAATAATCTCCTTTGTTTCATCTTTATCTTTTAGAGCGATGAAAATGAGAGCGATGAGAAGCTTGCAGACAATTCACAGAAACTCTCTGAATCTTGTGTGCCAAGTAAGGGACCGTTTGACCCAAAGGCAAACTTAAAGGTAATCAGTTAGGCTATTGATGGAAGACTGATATTTTTGTGGCGTATAAAGGTTGAAGCTTTTTCTCAATGCGCTTTCTATCTGTGATTCTTTGAGCAGTGGGAGGTAGGTTCCCACTGCAAGGCTGTGTGGTCACAGGATGGGCTGGTTTATCCTGCCAGCCTGGTCTGGTTGGATGGGGAGTGCTGCAAGGTGAAGTTTGACAACTACGGAAACGAGGAAGAGATGAAGCTGAGTGCCCTGCTACCTGAAGCTGCTGACCAGCCCTGGAAGGAAAAACGGGTGAGCCACAGGCAATAGTGTTGCACGGTATACCGAAACGTCTGAACTTTTTCGATACTAGAACATGAAAAACAGTTTGGTAGTAGTATTTTTGTTACTTTCGGTACTTCTGTCAAATGTGTGTCACGTCGTCTACTGATTGAGAGAGGATCAAGTCTGTTCCCTTATAGCGCGAGAGCACCGTGCCTGCTCCACTTTCTCATTGCTAGCTGGAGCCTGCCATGAGGAACCACTGAACTCACTGGGAGTCTGGGCTGCATCACCAGTTATGCTGCACACAAGTTAAATCATCAAATCAAAATCAAATCAAATGTTATTTGTCACATGCGCCGAATACAACAGTTGTAGACCTTACCGTGAAATGCTTACTTACAAGCCCTTAACCAACAATGCAGGTTTAAGAAAATATTTTTGAAATAAAATAAAATAAAAAAATAAAAAAGTAACACGATAAAATAACAATAACGAGGCCATATACAGGGGGGTACCGAGTCAATGTGCGGCGGTACAGGTTAGTCGAGGTAATTTGTACATGTAGGTAGGGGTAAAGTGACTATGCATAGATAGTAAACAGCGAGTAGCAGCAGTGTAAAAACAAAGGGGGGATCAATGCAAATTGTCGGGGTGGCAATTTGATTAATTGTTCAGCAGACTTATGGCTTGGGGGTAGAAGCTGTTAAGGAGCCTTTTGGACCTAGACTTGGCGCTCCGGTACCGCTTGCCGTGCGGTAGCAGAGAGAACAGTGTATGACTTGGGTGACTGGAGTCTTTGACAATTTTTTTGGGCCTTCCTCTGACACTGCCTAGTATATACAGTACCAGTCAAAAGTTTCGACACACTTACTCATTCCAGGCTTTTTCTTTATTTTTACTATTTTCTACATTGTAGAATAATAGTGAAGACATAAACGATGAAATAACACATATATAATCATGTAGTAACCAAAAAAGTGTTAAACAAATATTATATTTGAGATTCTTCAAGTAGCCACCCATTGCCTTGATGACAGCTTTGCACATTCTTGGCATTCTCTCAACCAGCTTCACCTGGAATGCTTTTCCAACAGTCTTGAAGGAGTTCCCACATATGCTGAGCACTTGTCGGCTGCTTTTCCTTTACTCTGTGGTCCGACTCATCCCAAACCATCTCAATTGGGTTGACCTCGTGGGATTGTGGAGGCCAGGTCATCTGATGCAGCACTCCATCACTCTCCTTCTTGGTAAAATAGTGCTTACACAGCCTGGAGGTGTGTTGGGTCATTGTCCTGTTGAAAAACAAATGAAAGTCCTGCTAAGCCCAAACCAGATGGGATGGCGTATCGCTGCAGAATGCTGTGGTAGCCATGCTGGTTAAGTGTGCCTTGAATTCTAAATAAATCACAGACAGTGTCACCAGCAAAGCACCCCCACACCATAACACCTCCTCCTCCATGCTTTACGGTGGGAAATACACATGCGGAGATCATCCGTTCACACACACGCGTCTCACAAAGCCACGGCGGTTGGAACCAAAAATCTTCAATTTGGACTCCAGACCAAAGGACACATTTCCACCGGTCTAATGTCCATTGCTCGTGTATTGGTGTCCTTTAGTAGTGGTTTCTTTGCAGCAATTCGACCATGAAGGCCTGATTCACACAGTCTCCTCTGAACAGTTGATGCTGATGTGTCTGTTACTTGAACTCTGTGAAGCATTTATTGGGGCTGCAATTTCTGAGGCTGGTAACTCTAATGAACTTATCCTCTGCAGCAGAGGTAACTCTGGGTCTTCCATTCCTGTGGCGGTCCTCATGAGAGCCAGTTTCATCATAGTTCTTGATGGTTTTTGTGACTGCACTTGAAGAAACTTTCAAAGTTCTTGAAATGTTCAGTATTGACTGACCTTCATGTCTTAAAGTAATGATGGACTGTTGTTTCTCTTTGCTTATTTGAGCTGTTCTTGCCATAATATGGACTTGGTCTTTTACCAAATAGGGCTATCTTCTGTATACCCCCCTACATTTACATTTACATTTTAGTCATTTAGCAGACGCTCTTATCCAGAGCGACTTACAGTTAGTGAATACAATTATTATTATTTTTATTTTTTTATACTGGCCCCCCCTGGGAATCGAACCCACAACCCTGGCGTTGCCAACGCCATGCTCTATCAACTGAGCTACATCCCTGCCGGCCATTCCCTCCCCTACCCTGGACGACGCTGGGCCAATTGTGCGCCGCCCATGAGTCTCCCGGTCGCGGCCGGCTGCGACAGAGCCTGGATTCGAACCAGGATCTCTAGTGGCACAGTTAGCACTGCGATGCAGTGCCTTAGACCACTGCGCCCTACCTTGTCACAACACAACTGATTGGCTCAAATTCATTAAGAAGGAAATAAATTCCACAAATTAACTTTTAAGAAGGCACACCTGTTAATTGAAATGCATTCCAGGTGACTACCTCATGAAGCTGGTTGAGAGAATGCCAAGAGCGTGCAAAGATGTCATCAAGGCAAAGGGTGGCTATTTTGAAGAATCTCAAATATAAAATATATTTTGATTTTTAACACTTTTTTGGTTACTACATGATTCCATATGTGTTATTTCATACAATGCAAGAAGATACCGGTAGCATCCAGCTTTTTAGGCTAACTTTCCTTGCTAGCTTACAGCTGAAGCCAACACCAAAGTCAAACTCAAAAGTAATCAGTAAAACGTTTTGCTACAGTGTGCAACTACTAAATACACCCTTAGTAAAATATTCATGATAGCACTGTTGGAAACTTGATTTCTTTCGGTTCTGCTTCTCAAGCTTGCTTTTATTACTACCTGGTCTATTAAATGTATATTCCCCGTAATGGTGTGTATGTATGGTATTGTGTACCAGGTGTGGATGCTGGGTTCCCGGTGCCGTGCCGTGTACTCTGAGGATGGCCTGGTCTACCCAGCGGTGCTGGTGTGGATGAGAGGCGAACGCTGCCGGGTGAAGTTTGAAGGCTACGGGAATGAGGAGGAGCTGGAGCTGAGCACCCTGCTATCTCCAGATGACCTGGGAGGACACAGTGGAAGAGCTGCTGCCAAGGTGCAGCAAGGGGTCAAACTTCATTTCAACCCTCATTTATGTGGCCTTTATGACAGACACCAGACGGTTCAAGTAAAGTTTGACAGTAAGATGTATCAGACTTTAAAGATGCACTACGCAGAAATCGCTCTGCCATTTCCTGGTTGCTAAAATTCTAATAGTTAGCCTAAACAAAACAAGCAAGTATAGTGTAGCGAGTCATTGTACCATCTAAACCGTCGTGAAATATATATATATATATATATATATATATATATATATATATATATATATAACCAAAAATATAGTATTTTAAGATGTTTGAAGCTGGTGTACAAAACCGAAAGTAAAAGACGCAAAAACAAAACTTAAGAATGGGAAGCATAGAAATAGGTGCACATAGAACATATATACCGCTTCTTAGACTTGCTTTCAATGAGAATGACAGATCTATGATGCACATTTCTATGTACATTTGGTCGGGTTGCCCGAAAACTTCCATATTGCAGCTTTAAATTACATCAACAAACATGTCACAATCCAGTATATGGATGAAGCACTGCGTGGGTCAGCCCAATAAGGCAAGTTTCTCACCCCTAGGCTGTCGAAGGGTTCAGGTCCACTAGTAACAACAGCGCAGATTGGAAGAAGAAGGATAGAGAGTGGAGGACACCTCAACAAGAGGGACGAGAGGAGCCTTCCTCACCTCAGCCACCTGAGTTTCCTCCAGTGAGTCTGGGTGCTATTCCCTCTTTCAGGACGTCTGGAATACATTGTTGACAAATGGTTATGGTTTACTGATGTCTGATATTTACAGATAAGGACGTTTGCATTCAAATATGTCAGACTTGTCCACTATAGCATGTCCCCAACCACACATTTTGATATTTGTTGTATGTTTTTCACACTTTCTCTCTTGTGTTGTTTCAGGGAAAAGACTATAGCAAAAGCAGCTATAACCTTGGCAATGAGCAGGGGGATAAGAAGAAGCCAAGTAGTCGGAGACAGGAACCAAATAATCACCCCTTTCCTTTTTTTCCTCCAGTGCCACCGCCCAAAGGCTGTTTGGTGAGGCTGTTTGCTATGTGTGTTTCTTACCTACATGTCTATCTTCAACCTGTGTGAGACTGGCTACCTCAAGCCTGTACATCCAGCAAGAGTAATGTTATTTAATGTCTGTGATATTATGTTGTGGGTGTGTTTATAAATAAGAGATCTTGACAGTTTGTATTTGAGTATTTAATGCAGGTGTAATAATGTTATCTTCTCCTCCAGGACTTCCTGTCACTCCTGCCTCCTCCTCCACCTCCACCGTGTGTATGGCCCCCCCGAGCAGGGCTGGTGGACGCTGGCGATGGGCTAGACTCGGCCGTGACAGACTTATCCAGCATGCTGCTCTCCTGGTACCTGTGTGGCTACCACACTGGCTGCTACATGGTTAGCAAGAGCCTCTTCCATTTCTAGACCATTTGTTCCTATTGACGGAAACCCTGCCATGTCCATAGGTTCTATTGCCGCGTTCAAAACAACTCGGAAATCTCAGACTTCCGACTTCAGTGCATTCAAAACAACTGGGAACTCTGGAGAAAAGAAACGAGCTCCAACTGGGAAAAATCGATTTTAATGGTCATCCAACTCGGAATTCCAACATGGGAACTCGGGCCTCTTTCTAGAGCTCCGACTTTCCGACCTGAAGATCACTGACGTTGTGATTTGACCTCATATTTTTCAGAGTTCCCAGTTGTTTTGAACGTGGCAACTGTCAATGTCAATACTCCCCATTTAACATTTCAGGATCTCCCTTCTCTCAGATCATGATTTAATTACAACTAAAGGAAACTGATTTCATAATGATATATGGAACTTTACTTTTTGGTTCTTAGGCAATGCAGCAGACAACGACAAGTCGCAAGAGGGCTCATGAAGAGAAACGGGCCGAGGAATAAGGTAAAGTGATCTACCCTTTATGTGGTTTCAAATTCAACTCACTGTAACTCAACTGCTTTATCAAAGGATAATTGTCATATTTTAATTAGGAGGTGGGATAGCACTGACGCTGTATATCGATCTATAGCAATTGATTAGAACTGTAGGTCTATTTGGACCTTACGGAAGTGAAGGCATACGTTTTGCAGTCACTGAAGATTGCAGACTGAATAAATATCTTATGATGATACAGTGAGGGAAAAAAGTAATTGATCCCCTGCTGATTTTGTACGTTTGCCCACTGACAAAGAAATAATCAGTCTATAATTTTAATGGTAGGTTAATTTGAACAGTGAGAGACAGAATAACAACAAAAAATCCAGAAAATGCATATCAAAAATGTTATCAATTGATGGGAAATAAGTATTTGACCCCCTCTCAATCAGAAAGATTTCTGGCTCCCAGGTGTCTTTTATACAGGTAACGAGCTGAGATTAGGAGCAGACTCTTAAAGGGAGTGCTCCTAATCTCAGTTTGTTACCTGTATAAAAGACACCTGTCCACAGAAGCAATCAATCAATCAGATTCCAAACTCTCCACCATGGCCAAGACCAAAGAGCTCTCCAAGGATGTCAGGGAAAAGATTGTAGACCTACACAAGGCTGGAATGGGCTACAAGACCATCGCCAAGCAGCTTGGTGAGAAGGTGACAACCGTTGGTGCGATTATTCGCAAATGGAAGAAACACAAAATAACTGTCAATCTCCCTCAGCCTGGGGCTCCATGCAAGATCTCACCTCGTGGAGTTGCAATGATCATGAGAACGGTGAGGAATCAGCCCAGAACTACACGGGAGGATCTTGTCAATGTCAATGATCTCAAGGCAGCTGGGACCATAGTCACCAAGAAAACAATTGGTAACACACTACGCTGTGAAGGACTGAAATCCTGCAGCACCCGCAAGGTCCCCCTGCTCAAGAAAGAATATATACAGGCCCATCTGAAGTTTGCCAATGAACATCTGAATGATTCAGAGGAGAACTGGGTGAAAGTGTTGTGGTCAGATGAGACCAAAATCGAGCTCTTTGGCATCAACTCAACTCGCCGTGTTTGGAGGAGGAGGAATGCTGCCTATGACTACAAGAAACGTCTGACCTCTGTGATTGCCAACAAGGGTTTTTCCACCAAGTACTAAGTGATGTTTTGCAGAGGGGTCAAATACTTATTTCCCTCATTAAAATGCAAATCAATTTATAACATTTTTGACATGCGTTTTTCTGGATTTTGTTGTTGTTATTCTGTCTCTCACTGTTCAAATAAACCTACCATTAAAATTATAGACTGATCATGTCTTTGTCAGTGGGCAAATGTAGAAAATCAGCAGGGGATCAAATACTTTTTTCCCTCACTGTATATATTAGGACCTACGATACACCCCTGAGGATTCTACAGGTAGGCTATGTACTATTAAATGCTCATAACTCTGTCTGCCTGCCTTTTCCCTTTTCAGGTTGGTTTAAGACCCTAGAATGGGGAAGAAGACGAAACAGCTGTCCTGTAGAAACAGGACAAGAGTTCCAAAGACTGAATGTTCTTGTACTACACAGAGGTAGTCCAATTGGGGCTCTGTGTGTGATGCATTCCAGTTTTCAGGGGTTTTTTCTTACTGAAAGTATGTGTTGTGACCAGAAGAAGAATGTAGATGAGCAGTTAGGGGTACGGTGATCCTAGCTCATCAAGCCGTTAACTCAGCCTTCCAAAAAGCCTATTGGAAGTGCTATCTTTACTTTGACGTTTTTGGCACTTTTCTGTTATTTTTACTCTTCGAAAAAGCTTTCCCAATGTTTTTTTTTTTTTTTGGGGGGGGGGGAATAAAATAATGGGACAGCTAGTTTATGGTCAAGTGGAAACAATTAGAATGATTTGTTAATCCTTATTTTGTTAAATGTTAGTTTGAGTTCATTTTGGGAGATTATTTTACTACTGTAAATTGACAATATGTTTGGATGATCGTTTTCTTTTTCAAGAGAAAATTAATTCAACCAAATCGCATGCCTTGGCATTTCTTTTGCATTTCTTATGCATGTTTTATGTAGATAAAATGTAATAGTAATGGTTGAAAATGATTGCAAATGTAATATCTGACTGTAGGTTATTGGGTGTCTCAAACCACCCCTGCAGGTTTACTCATCTCCTCACCTTTAACCCCGAGCTTCACCACATGGTTTTCTTCAGCACATAAGAACTATAGTGTCAATATTAGACCAAATAATTAAACCATGTTTCTTGGAAATGTCTAGTGAGTAGGGAGTAGTAAACACTTTATAACACATTAAGGTAATGTGCAAAGGTATGCAATTTTTCAGTTGTGTCAAGTATATATGTGCAGCCTAAATGCAGAAAATGTGGTAAAAAAATTTTTTTAAATCTGAAATCACACAAACCCTCACCAGTCACCACGAAATTGATATTTTGTATCGTCTATTATATCTGTGGATGACGCAGTGTTCTGGATATGACACTGGGTCAATTGGAACAAACCTTGGGTCAAGGATGAGGTTATGCTCACAAGAGGAGATGGGAAGCAGACCTGGTTTGACGTAGATGGTCAAAAGACCAGATGACACGTAGGACCCTCAAAATAGCAGTGATTTAGAATCTCTATTGGGAATTTGAATACTGAAGTTAAGATGCAGCCAATTTATTGTAAAGGGTCCTTAGCAGTAAAGCTGTGAGATTTCTATGGATTTGGTCTAGGATGCACAATAGCTGCTAATGTAGCCAACAACTCAAAATAGGCTGTGAAAATTCCAATAGCACATGTTCTTAATAAAGCACATTGAAGCCTCCTTAATCCTTTATTTTGGGGCTTCAACTCTAAAAAATCTCTTCATTCCCTGGAGGGAATACTTTTTTGGAAATGCCATTTTGCCAGACAAAATGTCCGTTTGAGTTTAGTAAGTTTTATGTTCCCCTTTAAAAATGTCAAAAGTATAAGCACGTGTACAGGCTATTTGAACACATTTGCCTGGAAATGTTACATGTCAAATAATTCCATAATTTCAGTGTTATGAATATTGCAGCAGATGATGTCAAAGCAACGTATAAAACCTTGGTCCTCGTTGTCTGCCAGCCAGAATACTAGCCTAGACCTACTGATTCGCTTGCTTTGCTATCAACTTCCAATCAGGTTCAGCGCGTTTCAGTACCATGGTCGGCAGCCTGCTCCTCCTCCTCAGCGCCACCAGCTCGGTGTTGGTGGTGCTGGCCAGCTCCCACCACTTTCTGGAAACACGCTCCCCTGAAGACTCCATCAAGACACAAGAAGAACAAGAATTGGTGAGATAAAAAAGTATATTTATTCGCAAAAAAATTATATATATTTTTAAGGGTTTTATATAGTCCTACCAATAGGGTTCTAAAAGGTACATTGCTCAATAACTTGGACGGATGGTTTTGTGGTACTGTATATCAATTCACACAGCATGCGCACATTGATTGCTCAAATGGACGCTAATACACATAGCTCATAATCGTGAAACTTAGATTGGCGATATGTTAATAGTCTACCATTGCAGACAGAGAATAGATATGAACATGTCAAACTAAACATGCTTCTTCTACTCTACAGTTTGAAGCTTTACAAGAGGTTCTTGAAAAACTACAGAGTAAGCAGATGCCGGCCTATGAGAAGAAGTTGGGTTGGGTTCCCATGGTAAGAGGAATAGGTTTAGGATTTACTTAATTGAAATATAATTGTTTTGTAATATAATTGTTTTGTAGAAACTTCGTAAGACATATGCCTGAACATGGACATTTTTATATTTTGCGTGACCATTATTCTGTCTGTGTTATTTTCAAGTAGGCAACAGTAGGCCTACAGCAATAATACATGTAGGCTGTATGTTCTCTATGTTGACAGTGTGATGCTGATGCGGGTCAGCAATGTGCAGTTCGCAAAGGTGCAAGAATTGGGAAGTTGTGCGAGTGTCCACGGGGAACATCTTGCAACTTCTCCATCCTCAAATGCTTTTAGGGAATCGAGGACGACAGCTACCATCGGGATGACTCAATGTTTTATGAGGACAATTAGTGTATTCTCAAATCTTGCTGTTTTAGATATGTAAATGTAAAAGAATGGAATAAACAACTTTTTTTGAAGACTTCTGAAGACTTTTCCTGCTTTAACAGATTTTTTTTTTTCAGGGAGAAATGCAACAATGATATGTCACATCTCTGCATTTAAGTTGTTGGAGACATGAGAAGTAACTTACTGCAGAGGGCGCAACAGACATTTAGAGAGGCAACATATTTTCATTGGTGAAAAGGAAACCACCCAAATAACAACAATAATAATGCTAAAACTTAATATGAATATTGCAACAGATGATCTCAAAGCAACGTATAAAACCTTGGTCCAGGTTGTCAATAATAATTCATAAAAATATAAATTATAATACTATCGTAACAGCGTATTATCCTATAATGATTAGGCTACCATAATAATCATAATAGGCCTTAATTGATATGAGATGTTTGACAAACTATTTGAGACTTTGGTTTCAATTTATGTCTAGAGAATATACTTAAATAAGAGTTTCTTTACTGCAGTTACTGTACCTTTATCCCTGACCACAGGGATCCGATTGGTCTGTAAAGTGTCAATCTGCAGAGTTTCCGCCCTATACATATAGTAGGGGCGTCTCTCTGTATCACATTATTTGCCAAACTTTTCAACATGGCGACACAACAAACTGAAGAGGTGGAAGCAATGGAAAATGTGAACCGAACTTTGCATCCTGGCTTCAGCAACGACAGGTATTCTCTGCTTGTCATTGTCGGTGAACATAGTCGGACTGGACTTGTGGACTACGTGGTTGCGGAGATAGAGCGAGGTAACGTCGCCCAATTGAATGTCTATCGAATAATGAATTAGCGCCTGCCCGCGCTTCCTTCTGTCCTGACTTGGCTTGAGCTATAGCTCGGTTAGCACAGGTGACGTTGTCTAGGCTCATACTGTACTGTACTACTCAACCTTTAAGTATATGCCGTCAACAAATGGTTCTAGCTAATTGCAAATGAACTCGCTAATTGGTAATTGGCATTGAAATATCACACTAGTCTCGTGAATGTTTGCACTATTTCCACGACCAAGCAGGGGCGTCATGCATCCCCAAAGGTTGAGGGGGCACAAAGTACGTGAGGATGGCTGAGGGGGCACAAAGTACGTGAGGATGGCTGAGGGGGTGGTCCAAGGGGTGGCTAGTCCCCCTGTCAGAAAGTTAGAGAATTTTGCATTTTTCAAACACCTTAAATAGCCTTTTCTTGCGATCTACAGCCGTAATCATAATGCTTAATTCTATGTCAAAAATATATATTTTCCTGCAAATCTAAGTATTCCTCTTGAACTGTCTGTATCCTCTTGACAGCTGGTTCTTTTTTTAAATAAACAAATTATGCTTCTCTGTATCTCTGGTAAAATATTGAAAGGAATGTGAGTCTTAGGGTACGTTCGTAAATTCACTCTATCTACTCCGATTTCAGAGCATTCTCATCTGAGTACCAGAGCACAGAATATCAAATCAAATCAAATGTTATTTGTCACATACACGTGTTTAGCAGATGTTATTGCGGGTGTAGCGAAATGCTTGTGCTTCTAGCTCCGACAGTGCAGTAATATCTAACAAGTAAAATCTAACAATTTCACAACATATACCCAATACACACAAATGTAAGGAATGGAATTAATAATATATATATATATGGACGAGCAATGACAGAGCGGCATGGACTAAGATACAGTAGAATATTATAGAATACAATATATACATATGAGATGAGTAGTGCAAGATAAGTAAACATTAAAGTGACTAGTGTTCCATTTCTTAAAGTGGCAAGTGATTTCAATAGGCAGCAGCAGCCTCTAATGTGCTAGTGATGGATATTTAACAGTCTGATGGCCTTGAGATAGAAGCTGTTTTTCATTCTCTCGGTCCCAGCTTTGATGCACCTGTACTGACCTCGCCTTCTGGATGATAGCGGGATGAACAGGCAATGGCTCGGGTGGTTGATGTCCTTGATGATCTTTTTGGCCTTCCTGTGACATCGGGTGCTGTATGTGTCCTGGAGGGCGGGTAGTTTGCCCCTGGTAATATGTTCGGCAGACCGCACCACCCTCTGGAGAGCCCTGCGATTGCGGGCGATGCAGTTGCTGTACCAGGCGTTGATACAGCCCGACAGGATGCTCTCAATTGTGCATCTGTAAAAGTTTGAGGGTTTTAGGTGCCAAGCCAAATTTCTCCAGCCTCCTGAGGTTGAAGAGGCTCTGTTGCGCCTTCTTCACCACACTGTCTGCGTGGGTGGACCATTTCAGTTTGTCATTGATGTGTACGCCAAGGAACTTGAAGCTTTCCAGCTTCTCCACAGCGGTCCCGTCGATGTGGATAGGGGGGTGCACCCTCTGCTGTTTCCTGAAGTCCACGATCATCTCCTTTGTTGACATTGAGTGAGAAGTTATTTTCCTGGCACCACACTCCCAGATCCCTCACCTCCTCCCTGTAGGCTGTTTCGTCATTGTTGGTAATCAAGCCTACTACTGTTGTGTCATCTGCAAACTTGATGATTGAGTTGGAGGTGTGCTTGGCCACGCAGTCATGGGTGAACAGGAAGTACAGAAGGGGACTGAGCACACACCCTTGTGATCAGCGAAGTGGAGATGTTGTTTCCTACCTTCACCACCTGGGGGCGGCCCGTCAGGAAGTCCAGGACCCAGTTGCACAGGGCGGGGTTCAGACCCAGGGCCTCGAGCTTAATAATGAGCTTGGAGGGTACTATGGTGTTAAATGCTGAGCTATAGTCAATGAACAGCATTCTTACATAGGTATTCCTCTTGTCCAGATGGGATAGAGCAGTGTGCAGTGTGATTGCGATTGCATCGTCTGTGGATCTATTGGGGCGGTAAGCAAACTGAAGTGGGTCTAGGGTGACAGGTAAGGTAGAGGTGATATAATCCTTGACTAGTCTCTCAAAGTACTTCATGATGTCAGAGGTGAGTGCTATGGCGTGATAGTCATTTAGTTCAGTTACCTTTGCTTTCTTGGGTACAGGAACGAATAACTGATTAATTTACGAACCTGCAACACCTGTTGAATATGAACCAGTGTCAGTAAATGTTGGCAAAAAAATGTCATTAAATTGTTGCCAGCCGCACAGTTACAGTCACCAATGCTCTAGATGACAAAACAGCCTAACCAGCTCTGCTCTGCTCTGCTAGGGCGCGTAAAATGGTCAGAGTGAAGTGTTCTCTCATTTGTTTCTGGAAGTAACTAGCAAGCTAGCCAACTTTAGCCAGTTAGCTTGGGTCCTTGACTACTGTTGTGAGGTCAGAACGCTCAGATCAACCCTACTCCTCGGCCAGAGCGTCCAGTGTGTGCTCTGAGAGCAAAACGCTCTGACTTTACGAATGCCCAGAGAATACTGAGCACACACTGGCACCCCATAGTTAATTTATGAACACACCCTTATTCAGTATTTTTAATTATTGCTTGCTTTTCTAAAGTCTACCAACTTTGCCAGCAGGTATGCCAGCTAAGATAGTTAGACAAGCTAGCTACTTTAACTTGATATATAGCCTGAAATTGCTTCTTGGTAGCTAGGTTGAGGTTGGGAGATTGGGAACCTATCATGGCTAGGTAAAGCCAACTTCATAAAATTGCTAGGTGGCTTGTAGGAATACAGAGAAATTATTACTATTATTATTTTTTAAGCAGGACAAATCTGAGGGGGCACTTGCCCCCTATGGGCGTGACGCCTCTGTGACCAAGTTCATAATCAAATATGATGCCACATGGAACCCTGTTTTTCAGCAGACAGAAAATGGAAAGATGAGGGAGGTAAAAGCCAGTAAGGGACAACAACAAAGATTTTGGATCTACTGGCAGATGGTTAGCAGTGGGCCCCTGCATGGTGTGTTAGTGTAAGTTCACAAAACAAAATTGACTATTAATAGTGTGGGATAGTAAGTCGCTCTGGATAAGAGCGTCTGCTAAATGACTAAAATGTAAATGTAATGTAATGGATAGCTGAATGAATCATTTTGACAATATGTAAGTATATGGGTATTTGCCTACACAGCTAGCTAGTTATGCTGAGTTTATCGTCTTGTACAGACTATCATTACCAGCCACACTGCAGATCAGTCTTTCATCCCATGGCAACAAGCCCACCGAAGAGAGGAGGATACAGATGTTGAGCCCTATCTAAGGAGACTAACAGCTTTTGCTTCAGTTTCCAAGGACATTGCTACAGAGAAAGGTGTGATATGTTTGTTAACTCATTGAGCAGGGGAAGATACATTTTAGATTACATTAGCCTAGGTTTTACCATTGTGCAGTGTGTATCTTGCTTGTACGTTGTATCTTCCTCATCCCTTTTAGACGACTTGTCTTTGAGAAAGGTTAATCTTGCATCCATAAGATGGACTGTGTTTAATGACGTCTGTCTGGTTCCAAGATGCCACTGTGCTGGACTTCTGAAGGGTTGTCACTGGGGAGGGACTCCACTGTGCACTGATTGGTTCAGGGTCAACACAGGGTATCATTGTAAAGGTTTGGCCTTTCGAGACCACTCAAGACCTCAGGGTCCTCTGGTCTAACATAAAATCATCATAGTGTCATCATCAGGTGAATGCACTGTGCAGCACAGAAAGGGAGTTTTTTTTCCCTCGAGCTTCCAATATTTTTTATTTTTGTTGGAAGGGTGTCTTCTTTCTGTTTTGTTTTAGTTTAGTTCCGAACATACAACCCTGAGCATCTGTCGGGGTTGCTTTATTAGCTCTGACTAGTAGAGACAGTTTGCAGTAAGCTTTAACCACTTCAATGCTAGCTTGTATCACTCACAAAGCTGGTTTGCCACTTGCTTGTAGCTTATGAATAACAGGAAATTATATTCCCAAATAATGTCAACATCCTGATTTGTGTGTCACCCCTGTGTAGCGTTAGAGTTAACGGAAGCATATGAGATTTCCATTGCATCGGGCTACTTGGAAAATAAGGAAAAAATCTAATGGTGATTTGATTTCCATGCCCTTTGCGTAGGTTTTAAGACTCTGCTGCTACATTTAGCATGTTCTCGTTCGAATAGTT